GTGCGGGCCGAGCGGGAGGGTGCCCGGCTCGGAAGGGTCAGGTCTGAGCGGCCCGGTCCGCCACCGGACGGGGGCGCAGGGCCTCGGGACGCCTTCGCGGACGCGCGACCCTTCACCTTGGACCTTGCCCCCTGGGGCGGCGTGGCTGGGCCTCCTGACGCCGCCGCGCCTCCCATTCATTCATTCATTCACGCGTTGGCCGAGCACCTACTATGAGCCAGGCACCGTGCCCGTCGCCCGGGGGCTGCCCGCCCGCGCGGCCTCCACACTCCCAAGCCTGCCCGGCGTCTTGTAGCCTCGCAGCCCGGGTCACTGCTCCGAGCATCTTAGGGCCTCCTCTCTCTGCTTTCCAGATTTTGGGGCTTATTTTTCCTTTACGGGAAGGGAGAGCCAGCGGGCTGCACTGTTGCTTGGCAGCACCAGGGCCGGCCGTTCCCACACAGCGTCTTGTTACTTTGGGATTGTGGATGAACTTGGCCGTCCTGCGAATGGTGCTGGGAGCGAGTTAACCGGCTCGGGGGCCCTGGGGCAGGCGGCACAGGCGCACCGTTGGGTCAGAGTCCTCCGAACCGCTCCCCAGAAAGGGGAAGTAGCTGGAGACCGTTGCATGTGGTACCGCAGGTTCCTGCGATCAGCCCTTGCTGTTACTTATGTTGATTCCTTTGTTGTATCCCAGACCTCGAATGTTAGAGTCTAGAGCAGTTTAGGCTCAAAGCCTGACCCTACCACTTAGAAGCTGGGTAACTTTAGACAAGTGGCGTCGCTACTTTGAGCCTCAGTTTCTGTATCTGTTCAATGGGGTAGTAGTCACATTCTGTTCATTGTGAAGTTAGAAATACGAGTCCTTGGTCCATTGCTTACCCAGAGAACTGGTTATTATTATTGTTGTTTATATTATTTACTGGCCATACCGTAAGGCTTCTTTGCTTAGCTCAGCTGGTGGACTTTGAGGGTTAAAAACAAAAGTTTGCTGGTCTCTGACATGAAGGGAAGGAGGGGGGAGAATGTTAAAACCGAATCTGTTCAGCTGGGTATCCTTACCAGCTGAAATGGAAGACAGGTTGATTTGTTAGGGAAACCAGCTTCCGAGTCCAATGTCCCCCTCTTACAGGTGGACGTGGGGCTGCACCCTCACTTGTAGGACAGTACGGCTCTGGGAGGGAGAACTCTGTGTAGGTGGCCAAGGAGAGGAAAGAACGTGGCTGAGCACGTGAATGCAAAGGCTGCCCTCAAGTCCTCTGGGACATCAAGGGTGCGGATACTTTTCTTATGGCCCCTTGCCTGAGCGTCTGAGCTGTTTGGAGGCAGGACTGTTTGTTTCAGAGCAAAAGGAAGTCACCAGCCTCATACAGGGCATGCAAAAGGAACCCCTTGTCTCAGCTGATGGTCTGGGCGAACCTTCAAAGGTCAGCGGAGACAGAAGACAAAATGGGGATTTCAGGGCTGAGTTTTGGGGTTGTATCAAGGAGAGGCCTACATTCTGGCAAACAGTCAGAGACATGAGGCCAGAACTCTTTCTGGAGGGAACCACGGCTTTGGCCTGTCGCAGAGATGATGGTAGATACTATTGGCCTGAAACACACTAGTGCTTTTATAGATCTAGGAACTCAGGGACAACCCTTTGAGGTAGGTGGTGTTTCCATCTTACACATGAGGAAACTGAGGCACTGAGGGGAAGTGACTGGTTTCAGGTGGACGTGCAGCCCACACTCACTTCTTGCCTCATAACACCTTGTTGTGGGCCAGTGAGTCGGTTCTGTCTCCTGCAACCCTATAGGACAGAGGAGACCTGCCCCCACAGGGTTTCTAGATTGTATTCTTTATGGAAGCAAATGACCAGATCTTTTCTTGGGCTGAGATGCTGGTGGGTTTGAACCGGCCCGGCATCTGGGATGAGGCTGATGCCATTAAGCTTGCTTCCTGCCAGCCAGCCTTGGGGTAGGTTGTTTTGTTAATTTTAATTAAGGCATAGCCAGGTCTGGTAGAAACTAATTTTCAGCACCTTTGCTTTTACTAAGATTGGATCCAGACCTGCCCTCTGCTCTGTGCCTTGAGGGTGTTTAAAGAAACAGCCCATGCGCTAATCTCAGATTGTCTGAAATAAACCGTATGAGATCAGAAGGGTAGCGTTTGTCCAGGGATAAAGGTCAGAAGGCAGGAAGGGACCGGAAAGAAGAGGTGGAAATGGGAGGAGGTGAGAGGAGGGCTGCTACCTTGTGGGGACTGCAGTCAACGTCATGACACACAACGTGTATGAACAGTTGAGTGGAAAACCAGTTTGCTGTCAACTTTCACTCAAATCACAATACAAAGTTTAAAAACTGAACTAAAATAAACCCTGACCTTCTTGGAGCACTTGGAGCATGGGCATTGGCGTCCAGCAGATGTGGGTCAGACTTCCAGCCCTGCCTCTCACTAGCTTTGTGACCTTGGGTCAGTGTTTGTACAAAGGAGATAAAGTGGAAGGATTAAAGGTGATGAGTTAGATTGCACAGTACTAGGCACTGAGCAAGTGCTTAATAGGGGGTAAAAGAACCCCATCAGAGAACAGGATGGATCCGGCAGGGGAGTGATGTACTCATTTGTTCATTGAAAGATCCTGAAGCAGCTTGGACACAGAAGCACTGTTGGCAGTTGTCAGAAGGTAGAAACCGTCCACACGTCCGTCCACTGGCAAATGGATAGACACTTTGTAGTCTCGTGAGACAGTGGACAACTCTTTGGCCAAAAGAAGGAATGAACCTTTAAAACATTATGATCAGTGAGAGAAGCCAGTCACAAAAGGTTCTTTCTGTGTGATGCCGTTAGTATGAAGTGCCCAGAATAGGCAAATCCATAGAGGCAGAAAGTAGATTAGTGGTTGCCAGGGGCTTGAGGAGGGGGACTGAGGAGTGCCGGTTCACGAGCACAGGCTTCTGTTTGGGGCGATGAGAATGTTCTGGGACCAGATAGAGGTGGGGGTTGACTTAATGACACTGAACTGAAAACCTTAAAATGGTGAATTTTATGTTACGGGTATTTCATCAGAATTAAAACAGAACACTGAACGTGTACTAGGTGAGGCTCACAAGCCAGACAGAATGTTCCCTGGGGAGCTTTCATGGCCGGGGAGGGGACAGACAATAAGTAAAGAAGGAAATGAGACCATTTCAGAGTGGTAAGTGCTATTAAGGAAATCAGATGGTGTGCCAGTGCTGCTTATGGTGGGTCATTTGTGGTTAAGCTTAATGTGTGCCTGCTCCGGTTCTGATGGAGGGCGCTGTGGACATCCTCCCCACTGGACTGATGAGGAGAGTGAGGCGTAGACTCTCCTGCCCACAGTTCAGCTAATTTAGTGCTGGAGATGTGAGTGTGCCCCCAGGTGCAGAACTTTTTTTTTTTTTTCTCCATAATTTTTTTATCTCACATGGTTGATTGCTCCATGCACAGAAGCTCAGTGGAGTTGGAAAGAATGGGCATAGAGTGGCCATGGAAGTGAGCTCACACTGAATAAGAGATGGAGCCAGTCAGGGACCCAGCCTTCCAGGCAGAAGGACTGCCGAGGGCCAAGGCGTCGTGGTGGGGATACGCTTGGTGTGCTCGGGGCCAGAGACAGGGTGCAGATAGGGTTGGGCAGAGAGCAAGGGAGAGATGGCCAGATCGGAATTTGACAAAGCAGATAGACGCTGACACAAGAAAGACATTGCACGGAGCCACAGGAAGGGGTCCTGTGTCCTGATTGGAAGAGTCAGGGCAGGGCCAGGGAGGAAGGGCAGCAGGGAGCAAGGGAGGGGCTGGGGTGTCAGGGCAAGGTTTGGAGGGGGCTGCACTGCAGTGTAGGAGCCCTGGTAGTGTAGTGCCTAAGGCACTTGACTGCTAACCAGAGGGCTGGCGGTTCAAACCCACCAGCCACTCCTCGGAAGGAGGGTTGGGCAATCTAGTTCCATAGAGATACTGCCTCGGAAACCCAAGGAGGGGTCGCTATGAGTCAGGGCCGACCTGACGGCACACAACAACAACAACAACATGTCTCCTTGCTCGACTGTTCTGGGAAGGCAGCGGACTCTGGCTCATTTGACGGGGACCGTTTTCTCATCTCTGCAGTTCCTGACCAGGCTGACTGAGAGGTTCGTGCTGGGCGTGGATATGTTCGTGGAGGTGCTGTGGAAAGTTTGGACGGAGGTTCTGGATGTGCTCGGACTTGACGGTAGGTGTGGGGAGTGTGTACCAGCACTTGTGGTGGGGGTCCTTGAGGGATTTAAGTGGCCAGTGAGTATCCAACCAAGCGTTTATTCTTTTCACGGCCGCCTGTGTAAATGGCACTTCAAAGCTGATTTCACAGGTCTGTTTAGGATACGTGGAGCCCTGGGCGGCACAGTGGTTGAAGCACTCAGCTGCCGACCGAAAAGTCAGTGGTTGTAACCCGCCAGCCGCTCCACAGGAGAAAGATGTGGCAGTCTGCTTCCGTAAAGATTTGAGCCTTGGAAACCCTGTGGGGCAATTCCGCTCCAGCCTATGGGGTTCTATGAGTTGATACCAACTCAATGGCGATGAATTTTTTGTTTTGTCATTTAGGATAAGGTGAAATACGTAGTGCCGACTTGTCTGCCCCAAGGCAACCCATGTCGACCTGGTTTATTGGGCTCCACTCTGGCTATTTAAGCAGAAGGGGGTTTGACATGGAGCAGGGGGCTCTTCTGGATTTGCTCCAACTGCCCTGTGGTATGTGGGTGGCAGGTCACCCCACGTCCCGGCCCCTCTGCTCCCCTCCATTATCAGGGTCAACACCACTCTCCCCTTGTGGCCCTCTGCGGAACGAACCCGCAGGTGGATCACTCTTTGCCGTCTCCACTACCCAGGCTGGGCTGCCCCCCCTCTTGCCAGGAAGTCTGCAGGCTCCCAAGACCACCCCGGGTTCACTGAGTCCCCAGGAGGACTCATCATCTAGTTATACTCACTGTACTTGGTTACAGCAAAAGGACATAAAGCAGAATCGGCGAAGGGAGAAAGCACGTGGGCCCAGGTCTGGGGAAACCAGGCGTGGCTCAGAGTCCTCTCCCCGTGAAGTCACACAAACCAAACGCCAAACTCACTGCCATCGAGTCAGATCTGACTCATAGCGACCCCTCCTTGGGTTTCCGAGGCAGTATCAGTATGGAAGTAGATTGCCCCATCTCGCCACCAGAGCTCCTGTGAAGTCACCCAGGACACACTTAATTCCTTCCGCAGTGAGTGTGACAATGCATGTGAAGGGTCATCTACTCAGGAGGCCCATCAAGAGACCCAATGCCCAGGGTTTTTATTGGGGCCTCTGCCTGGCATGTACCAAAATTTAGAGCAGACGGCTCATCTTTGTCCCACAGAGCAGCTGGTGGGTTTGAACTGCCAACCTTTTGGTTAGCAGCTGAATGCGTTAGCCACTGAGCCACTGGGGCTCCTTTCCTGCTTTCTGGTGTCAGTTAAATGTCTGTGTCTGTGTCCAAATGTCCCTCTTCTTATGAGACCACCAGTCACTGGATGAGGGCCCACCCAGCTGCAATGTGACCTCATCTGGATTTGGTCTTATATTCAAAGGTTGTTTTTCTAAACAAGGTGTGTTCACAGGTACCAGGGATTAGAACTCAGCAGAGCTCTCTGGGAAACACAAGGTTAGCTCATGACAGCAGCTGGACTGTGTAAACAGCCTCCCTGTCTACCCTCATCTGGCCCGTCATTCTTCCCCTTTGTGCCACTTGTCATTGGCTGTGACTTCCAGTTTGCTCCTTTTGGCTCGTTCATTGCTTGCCTGCCTTGGGCCCTGTCGGGGGTTTTCCCTGTCCTCTTCGGCTGCATCCTGGGCCCTGGCTCGGGCCCAGGCACAAGAGGCCCTTTGTCACGACAGTAGGACAGGTGCTGATCTCTATACGGCCACCGTTGTGGCTTTGGACTGTGCACACCACAGCAACCTGGGACCTGTGAAGCGACCTTATTTGGAAATAGGGCCTCTGCAGATGTGATCAGGTGACAATGAGGTCACACTGAGTTGGTGGTGGTAGGTGCCGCCATCGAGTTGATTCCAGCTCAGTGACCAGTGTGACACGGCAGAACTGCCCTGTGAGGTTTTCGGGGCTGCATCTTGATGAGGGAACCCTGATGGCACAATGATAAAGGGCTTGGCTGCTAGCCAGGAGGTCACCAGCCATCCAAGGGAGAGAGCTGTGGCAGTCTGCTTCCGTAAGGATGACAGCCTTGGAAACCCTATGGGGGAGTTCTGCTCTGTTCTTCAGGGTCTCTCTGAGTTGGGATTGACTCGATGGCAATGTAATGGGTTTTTAGTCTTTCCAGGGGCAGAGCACCAGGTCTTTCTCCCACAGAGGAGCTGAGTGGGTTCAAACCACCAACCTTTTGGTTAGCAGCGAGTGTTTAACCGTTGCACCCCCAGGACCCCTTCCCTGGAGTAGAGCCAAAACCAAAACCACTGCCATCAAGTTGATTCTGACTCATAGCAACCCCCATTGGGTTTCCAAGGCTGTAAATCTTTACAGAAACAAACCATCTCATCTTCCTCCTGTGGAGCAGCTGGTGGGTTTGAACCACTGACCTTCTGGTTAGCAGCCAAGTGGGTTACCCAGTATGCCACCAGAGCTCCTCCACTAGAGTAGAGTAGGTCCTAAATCCAATGACCGGTGTCCTTATGAGAAGGAAATTTGGCTGCAGACACAAAGAGACGCAGAGGACAAGCTCTTGTGAAGATGGAGACACGCAGTGCAGTGATGTAGCCACAAGCCAGGGAATGCCTGCAGCCACTGGCCTCTGGAAGAGAAAAGAAAGGTTCCCCTAGTGCCTTCGGAGGGAGCGTGGACCTGCCAACCTTGAGTTTGGGCTCTGGCCTCCAGAGCTGTGAGAGAATTATTTCTGTTGTTTGAAGCCACCCAGCTACTTGTGACTTGCTGCAGTGGCCCTGGGATGTTCACACTGCCACTTTATTTGTGTTCACTCTCAGAATCCTGCCATCAGCCCTGTGACCCCCACTTTACAGATTGGAGACCCGGGCTTTGAGGGCGAGTTTCTCCCACAGGTGAAGTTCATGGATTCAGGCCCTCTGTCAACAGATCTGTCACTTAGAACCTGTCTCCCGCCTGGAATCACCAAATTCAGTCTTTAAGAGGCCTCAGGTCAGTTCTCGGGGGCTTTGCTGCTCAGATGTGCTGCCTGCAGCCCCCCTGGGACTTACCAAGTCATTGCATAACCCGAGCATGGCAATGTCATGTCCTCCACTCAGAGTCTGTATTTGTCCCCTGCCCAGTGTCAGTCTTGGTATTTACATTCCTGACCAGTAAAACTCAAAGACACAAACTGATTGCACCCAGCTTGGTGTGAAAAGCCGTGATGTGGGTACAGCCCCATAATCGTATGGATGAGGTTGGAAATAGAGCTGTCCCTTAGTAAAACTGGGAGTGCGTCAATGCTCACACTAACTGGCATGCCTACAGCTTGTAGGGTTTCCCATTGTATTTGATGCCGTAAGGTTCAAAGCAGCCAAAAGCCTTTGGAATTTGCTTCTGATGCTTAGCAGTTTGAGTGTGCAAAACCCTTTTCAGGAAACTGCATGTCAGAGTTGGATGTTCTCATACAAGACGTGTTTGTGAGCAAAATCCTTGAGTTTCTTTCTCCAGAGTCATCCTGGGGGCTGGTTATGAGGGAGATGCCTCAAGCCACTGAAGGACCAGTAGAAGTGAGTCACGCAGGTGAAGTTTTCTAGGACTTGGCCCTCAGCATGCCATGCTGCGATGGCTCGTGTGTGGCTGTGATTCTGGAAGCTGAGCCACCCGTGGTGGACGGGTTTCAGCAGATCTTCCAGACCAAGGCAGACTGGGAAGGAAGGACAGGCGATGTCCATTCCAAAATGAGCCATGAAAACCTCACGGATCCCACCGGAACGTTTGTGACTTGCTGGCTTTGGGCATGTCACCAGGAGGGATCCTTTGCTGGAGGAAGACATTATTTTTGGGGAAGTAGAGGGACATCCTTGTCAACATGCCTGAACACGCTGGTGATTGTGAAGGTGATGCTGGACTGGGTAGTATTTTGTTGTGTTGGACACAAAGTCCCTGCTTTGGATTGAATTGTGTCTCTCCAAAATACGTGTCAATTTGGCTAGGCCATAGTTCTCTGTATTAAGTAACTGTCCTCCGTGTTGGGATCAGATGTAATTATCCTGCGTGTTGTAAACCCTAACCTCTATGACGTTATTGAGTCAGGGTTAGGGGCAGTTATGGTAATAAGGCAGAATACAATCTACAGGATTAGTTTGTGTCTTGAATCAATCTCCTTCTGAGATGAGATATAAAAGAGATTTCAGGAGCAAGCACAGACCAGAGGGACCTGTTACCACCAAGACAGAAGAGCTGGGAGCAGGGTACATCCTTTGGACCCGGGGTCCTTTCGCTGAGAACCGCCTAGACTCAGGGGAAGACTGATGACAAGACACATGGAAATCTCCAAGGAACACCAGGCCTACAGATGTTGAAAGGGAACAAGGACTTCCTCCAGGGCCAGCAGAGAGAAAAAGCCTTTCCCTAGAGCTAGTGCTCTGAATTCAGACTGTTAGCCTCCTTAGTGGTGAGAATAAATTTCTGTCTGTTAAAGCCATCCACTTGTGGTATTTCTGTCATAGCAGCATGAGATGACTTAGACAGTTGTGTGTGTTGGAATGGACTGCATGGCAGTTATCTCTGTCTCTCTAGTAGCCGTATTAAAAAGAAGTAGAAAGCAACAAGTAAAATTGATTTTGGTAGGGTACTTTATATATCCCAGTAGGACTCAAAATACCATCTCACCATATTAATGGGATATCTTCCATTCTTCTGCTATTAAGTCTTCAAAATCTGATGTCATAAATTAGACAGTGTTCCCTAAAAGCATGTGTTGTAAATCCCAACTTTGATGCTTATGGTTCTGATTGCATTTTGGGATGCATTGTGTTTGTTACGTTAATGGACAGGATTCCTTTATGGTGTGCCTTGAGCCAATCTCTTATAGGATATGAAAAAAAGCAGATGAGGATAAGAAGCAGGAAGAGATGGGGGAGGGTTGATGCCAAACCACATAGAGATCTCCAGTGAAACAAGAAACAAAAGCTGAATAGACAAGGACCTTCCCTGAGAGCCGATGCCCTGAATTTGGATTTCTACCTCCTGAAACGTGAGAAAATAAATTTGTTTGTGGAAGCCATCCACTTGAGTTGTTTCTGTTAGAACAGCACTAGAAAACCAAAACAGCATTTGGTACCAGGAGTGGGGTGCTGCTCTAAGTCATACCTACAGTACAGAAGTGGTTCTGGAATTGGGTAACGGGTAGAGGCTGGAAGGGTTAAGGTGCTAACAGTAACAGCTTAGATCGCCTTCAAGTGACCGTTGGTAGAATCATGGACGTGAACGCCAATTTTAATGAGTGCTTAGAAGGAAGTGAGAAGAGCTGTAGAGAGAGTCTCTTTCATACTGTTGTTGTTATGTGCTGTCGAGTCAGACCCAACTCATAGCAACCCCTCCTTAAGTTTCCGAGGCGGTATCACTATGGAAGTAGATTGCCTCATCTTCCTTCCGAGGAGTGGTTGGTGGGTTTGAACCACCAGCCTTCTGGTCAGCAGTCCAGTGCCTTAGGCACTATGCTACCAGGGCTCCTCTCTTTCATACTAGAGGGTCCATATGGCACCAGCAACAGAACATTGCTAGAAATGTGCTGTCAAATGTGTTTCTGATGAGCTTTAAAAGGAAAGGATGAACAAGTGGTTGGACAGTGGAGGAAAGGTGGTGCTTTTTATGCAGTGGCAAAGAACTTGTCTGAATTACGTTCACGTGTTTAGTGGAAGGTAGAACTTATAAGTGATGAACTTGGATACTTGACTGAGGAGCTTTCTAAGCAAGATATTAAAGGGGCCACATGGTTTCTTCTTACGTTTATAATAAAATGTGAGAGGAAGGAGATGGACTTAGAAATGAACTGTGCAAAATGAAAACAGAACTGAAAGATACAGGAAATTCTGTTGTTCAAACTAAGGATATGTGTCCTAGAATGTTCAACCAGGATTGTGTCTACACCATGTTTTGTTAAAGAGATTAAAACTGTGACTTATGGTCCTAACCAGCTACCACAGCCAAAAACCCATCAGCCTAGACTGAAAGGGACAGAGACAGGGCTGAAGGAAAGAACGCTGTCTGCCTCTTGGAATTCTACAGGCTGGACCAGGCTGAAGGAGCTACATCTGTTGTCCTCCAAGAAGAGGGAAGGACGGACCATCCCTGGAGCAGCTCAGAGATCAGCAGAACTGTTGGGAGGAGCACGGGAAGCGGGGCCTCCTCAGTTTCAGAGGCTAGGGCCACGGTCTCCCCTTTGTTGCTGACCATCTGCTTTTCTGAGCACGATGTCCTGCTCCAGGGACCAGTCCCTTCTGACAAGATGGCCAAAGGAAGAGAGACAAAGTCTAGCCATTCTCTCTTCCCAGGAACATTCCGGCTGCACTTCTTCCAGGACATACTTGTTCGTTCTGGCTTTCCGTGGTAGTTCATTATTTGAGACCACACTTCAAAGGCATCAGCTCATCTTTGGTCCTCCTTTTTCAGATGCCTCTTTACGGCTGAGTAATTGTGTCTGTCCCTTCATTCATAGATGGATGTGTGAGGCTTTCTCATCCTTTGCTATCATGAACAGTGCCTCAGTGAACGCTGGTGGGGGACATTTTCTTTTCATGGCATTTCATTTGGCCGTAAATAGGAATGGAATACTAACGTGTGTTTCTGTGTAGCTGAACTGCAGAGAAGGGCCTTGCAGGGAGAGTCAGCCGACCGCAGTTTGTGGGCAGACCCCTGACCCGCGTGAGTAACCTGCCCGTTTCTCTTTCCTGCCTGCAGTGTCGAACCTGTCCCAGTACTTCAGCCCAGCCTCGGTGGCCAGCAGCCCGGCCCGTGCCCTGCTGCTGGTGGGCGTCGTCCTCCTGGCCTACTGGTTCCTGTCCCTGACCCTGGGCTTCGCCTTCAGTGTGCTGCACGTGCTCTTCGGCCGTTTCTTCTGGCTCGTGCGGGTCGTGCTGTTCTCCATGTCGTGCGTGTACGTCCTGCACAAGTACGAGGGCGAGCCCCAGAATGCCGTGCTGCCCCTGTGCTTTGTGGTGGCCGTGTACTTCATGACCGGGCCCATGGGCTTCTACTGGCGCGGCAGCCCCGGCGGCCCGAGCCTGGAGGAGAAGCTGGAGCACCTGGAGAGCCAGGTGAGGCTGCTGAACATCCGCCTCAACCGGGTGCTGGAAAGCCTCGACCGCTCCAGCGACAAATGACGGTGCCCCGGCGGCCGCCCAGGCCCCCTGTCACCAGCGCGCGCGCTCGGAAAGAGACAGAGAAGAAAGAAGGCAAGAAAGGATCCCAGGCAATCTCAATAAACGTTACCGAGCGAGAACACAGCACTTTGTGAGGGTGTTTCCGACCCCATGTCCACTCCTGGGACACGTCCCAAGACGCGCTCACAGACCATCTACGTAGGACTGCGCACCAAGTGTCGTTAGTGGAGAGAGTATTTTTGGAACAAAGGATATAATAACCATATTAGCTGTACAGGAAGAGAAGTTTCAGGGCATAGAGCATACAGTTAATTTTTTCAAGCACTTAAATACATCTTTTGTAAGGTTTTTTAATAAAGGCAGATGGAGTCAAGTTTATTAAAACTGTAAATTGAGGGGAAGGGGATGTCAACAGGACATTTCAGGAAAGTTGAAATGGAAACACTCTTTTTTTTTTTTTTTTTGCAGCTTAGGTATCAGTGGGTGGGATCTATGTGTGTTCTTGTGTTCCCAGCAGCTCAGAGCCTTGATTTTACCTTTAGTTTGGGTTTGGGTTTGGGTTGACTTAGTGAATGGATGTTGTCCCTCTAACTGTGGACAATCAGACTTGAAGATGAAATTCAACCTCCTCTGGACCCTAGGGACCCCAGCAAAGCCGCATCAGTTATAATTCCAAACGAAGACGTCCTTCCTGGAGGAGAACCCGGGTGGTTTGTTTTTCTCCCTCTCTGTACTCTGCTGTATTTGTAGCCTCCATGTTTTGTGAAAAGCAAATAGCAGGACTGGGCACAGAAATGTCATTGGGGCATTTGGGTCTTCATGGGTGAGCCCTGAGGACCTCTCCAGC